ACTTCCTAAGACAAAAATGGCACATAAAGAAACTATGCATAGTGTTCTATTTCACCGCTGTTCCTCGCTCGAAGCCGGGAGCTCTGATTCAATTCGCTTTTCGTTATTCAACGTAACGAAACTAATATCGTCTTCTTAGCTAGACTCTATCAACAGCTTTGCTGTTAGACGAAATCAAAATCGTCTCCGTCAGCGCAGTGACAGCGTTAGCGTAGGCAAGGATTCGTACATGTTAAATCACGAGCGTTGCCTTACATGACAACGGCTTAAATCAAATTTCTGATGCATCGAAAATGAAAATCACTCTTGGCAGCTTAAATTAAATTTCTGATGCATCGAGAATGAAAGTCACTAATCAGAAATCATCACTAAGCATCTGATTAAATCAGAAATCTTTATTTAATCAGATTTCTGATGCATTGCCTAAATCGAAAGTCATTACATCGGCTTGCCGATGAATGCATTAAATCGATATTTCACGATGCATCGACTTATAGCCCAGTCCTAGTGCATGCATTATTTATAGTATCTAAAGTTTACACTGGAGACTACTATAGCAAGGTGTGTAGCGTTTTTAAAAAGTAGTTAAAGGTGCTTATATTCGTTTTTTAAAAGCCCTTAAAAGTGGGTTTTCATTGTGTGTTTTTAAAAAAGGCTTAACTTTCCCTTTTCCAAAATAAGATATTTTTTTCTTTACCATGTCGATTTTTTCTGCGTGTTGTGCAAAAGCTTGGTTTTCACAACGATTTCCCAATTCATTCAACCCCGATTTTTTTTCTGTGTGTTGTGCAAAAGCTTGGTTTTTACATTGTTTTCAATTCAACGTTTTCCCAATTCATTCAACCACGATCCATTTCGGCGCACCGTGGGTTCGTGACGTACGATAGCACCCATCAAGTTACATGTTAGATTAAATACTTGGCAATCTGCATGTGCTTCTACTGAGCTGGATTCGGTGAGATTGTTATGTGTGCAACTCTGCTGTTTTTTGCAAGATATTCTCAATTGCAGGCATCATTTTCCACCCTCTGATATTGAACCGAAAAATCTCCAGATCTTTTAATGGTGGCTAATATAATCGTGAAAAAGAGTTCTTTGTCAGAAACTAGTTATTTTATCATGATCATGTAAAAATCTTGGAAAATTATTTTGCATTTTGTTGATGTATATAGTGCTTACAAATATTTTTTGAGTGCTTAAAAAGTGCTTATTTTTTGTTGAAAGATTTGCACCCTGTATAAATCGGAAATTGTTCAAAGTAAAGAATGTTTCCTATGCAATCATGAAATTAAATAAAGATGTTGCTCACTCTTCCTTTTTAAATGCTTTTCTCTCCCCCGTCACCAAATAAATAACTCTGAAACAATGAGTAATGAAAAGAAAAAAAATAGAATAAAGGGTACATTGACACAATAAGAGTTTCATGCAATTTTAAGTTAAAACAATGTCAGGGTATCTGCGTACCTAGAAAGTCATGAGAAATCGAGAATTTTGGTATTGAACAAAATTTGTCGTGAAATGTCAAGATTTTAACTATTGTTTTAAAAAAATCATGAATTTAAGTTGCCTAAAAATCTAATTTTTAAAATGGAAGTTACCCTTCCCCCAATTTCACGGTGCTCCGTACATCGGAATTTGAAACAAAATCCCCACTCAGTCACATTTCATTAAAATATAAAATGTTTTTATCATGTTCTTCAGAAATTAGGGTGCGGCGCTCTTTTAAAAAATGAAGGAAAAAACATTTCTAGAGTGAATTATCTTTTAAACTTTTGCGATTTCAGAATTTTTGCTAATTTATTTATTTTTGTTTTATCAATTTAAAATCCTAAATGAAGCAAGACTGTAAAAATCAGTAGTATTTCTTTCAAATGAACGAAAAGATATTTTGGTAAATTGAGTTTTTATAAGCATTAAAGCAAATTACCAATTAAAGTTTGAAGAATAAATTTAATTTAAATATAATTAATTACAAATAAATACAGAAAGTTAAAAATGAAATTAGGATCGTTGTACAGCTATGCTTCACCGACCGTGCAACGAGCTAAAATGTGGATATCGACGGTTGCTTGTAGAAAAACTGGTTTTACGTGACTCCTGCAAGTTGAAGTAAAAGTTCTTTTTTTTGCATCACCAAGTGAAGGTGAGATTACAGGGCCAGGGCACCGCCGCAATATCTTTAGAATATAATTCTGCAGAAAAAATAAAGTAATAATTTGCTTTTGTATTTTTTTTAGCTATTTTATTACTATAACTCTTTCAATTCTGTGTTTTTAAATTTAAAATCTATAAATAAAGATGCAGAGTATAATAGTTTTGGTTATACCTATCATTTCAATGATTGTTGTTGTAATGCTTTTTTAAATTAATTGTTGTGTTTTTGGGAGAGAAAATAGTAATTTTGTTAAGTCTTGAAAAATTCTTGGAATGAATCATGAATTTGAAAATCTAAAATGTAGCAGATACCCTGAATGTGCATTAAGTTTGTAAAATTGAGCTGTGTTGGTTACCAGATCTTGTGGCATTCCAGGAACATTAGTTTTTCTTTCAGGTTGTAACCTCTTTTATTTATTTATTTATTTTTTTATTAAATATGTCAACAGTGATTGGTGTGTCTTTAAGAGGCTAAGAATTCTTACTGTTTCAGTGGTTTCTCTTTTTAATGCCTATTCTGTGTCAGCTTCTTTATTAACTGCTTTGTGTTTGCTCACATTTACTAATAACTGTTACTTGAAAGTGGGTTATTATTCTTATGCAGCACTATTTAAAAATGAAGAATTTTATTGTATTTATTAGAAAAGCAGTTACATTAATTTTTTCTTTGTTTATCCTCATATAATTTGAAGTTGAAAGCGTAGGTTAAAATTATGTAAAAAAAATATGCAACATTAAAAAAAATGCTAAGATTGAAAAAAAAAATCCCTTTCCTGAACTCTTAACCCTCTCCATGTTCATATCCCCATTTATACATGACCCCCTCCCCTATGACAGAATCGCAGCGACACGTTGGGGCAGAACGTTACAGAATTCCATCAGAAAGATTTTTCTTTTGAAAAGTGAAACATATAACTTTTTAATAGAAATTTATGCGTAATATTTGTATCACGCATTTAGATAATAGCTTTTTGACGGACCCAGTTTACGCCAATAATATAGTAATTGTATTTTTGACAGATATTGATTTTCGCATGGTTTTTAAATATCCCGATGTATGTCGAACGATATCGAAAAATTCGATCCTTGCATTTGAGCATTTACTTTTTAAGTCAATAATTCTTTTGAATTTTTGGCAGATATTGCAATTGATTTCTCAATATTTTTTAAATCCAATATTTTATGTGCGATATTATTTATGACAGCAACCTAATCTCGAGGAACGAAACACGCATTTGAGAAGTCTGATTCACGTGATTTTGTCAGCGATCTTTTTTTCTGTAATTATTAATGTGGATTTCATGATTTTTAATTCTTTTAACAATTATTTACAAAATGTGAAGAAGGAAATAATTTGTGTGTTTCCCCCTATCAACAAAATGCGAGAATATCAGCCACAATATTAGAATTATTAAGTGTTCAATTAAAAAAAAGTGATATATAGTTTTTTGTAAACACACAGCAATTTTATTTTAAAATTAGTAACATATATGTTATGAAAAGTATCTTTCAGAAAGATATTAGTTAAGTCGCAGATAGCTCGAAAAAATTGTGCCTGGGGGCCTTATTCATATTTTTGTTGAGGAGCCCGCCTTTCTGCCGTTTAACCAGTGAAATAAATTATATACAATATAATCAGAAATGAAGAAAGAAAAAAAGCAATCAACGGAGTTCCTAATGATATATCAGATTTTGAAAGTGATTTTAGTTTTGATAGTGATATAGATTTTTCGGACTGTTCCTCAGATGAATCTGATCAGGATATAAATAAACTAGCAAAGCTTTAGTTAGGCTATGGTGCAAAATTGATATGAAGATAATTTTTTTTGATATCTGAATTTGGTTTTCCTGACAACTTAGTTTCTTTCGATAAAAATCTATGTTTAGAAGGAAAAAATGCATCTTTCAATTTTCCAATATGTAAATTTAAAGTATGAAGGGGAAAAAAATAACGCAATATTTAAGTGATTTTGGTCCACAAATTGAACAGTCAGAGGAGGGTTAAGTTAAATGTATTTTTATTTGAGTGTAATCCTCAAGGCTATTTATTTTGTGGTTAATTGGACTAAAAAGATGGCTGCAAATTTTACTGGAATTTTCCACTAGACTACTGGATTTTGCCAGTTTCTCCTGAACTACTGGTTTAATTTAAATTCTCCTGGTTTTTGTACAATTTAGGAAATTCCCTGAAATTGAGTCAGATTGCTAAAAAATTCCCTATTAAAATTATTGCTTGTTTTCTAGAATACTTAAATAAGTATTATTATACAAAATTAACCTAATTTGTAAAAATCAGTTCAAAACTTTTTTTCGTTCTAAAATATTTAGAACTTTTTAAATTAATTTAAAAAAATCTTTTGACTATCTTTGATGAATTAAATGCCTATTAATATTCTAAATTATGAATAAACATAATACATAACATTTCCAGATTATTTAATGTGAAATTATAACTGGAAAATATGGTAGTTTTTCTATTTTAATCTCTTTTAATTTCTATTTAATTTCTTTTTTTCTATTTTATCCCTGAAATTTCCTATGTGTAAAATATTTAGTACATTATGGAACAATTATCATGAAATTTATATTATATTATTTCGTAAAATCTACTGGATTTTTTTCCCTATACATGTTGGCAGCTATGTTAAAAAAACCATGCATATGAAATTTGATTCTATTTACTTTATATCGAAAACATGAGTGTAGTGGGATTATACTAATATTCAATAAAATTTAAATCTACGAAATTCTCTTTCTAATTAAAAAAGGAAATGTTTGTGTCTGCAAAAGAATTATGTTAAAGGTTAAAATGTTTGCATGTTTTTGTTCCTTTGGTTATTTCTCAGCTGGCAGTGGGGTGGTGGCAGAGCAGGATAATCTAGCAGTGAAGGCTATATCTTCTTTGGGCCAATCACCACGCTCAAAAAAGGTCAGACTCTATATTTTGTATGTGAATGTTTTTTTAAAAAACTCTTGATTAAATGCTATTCCATTCCTGATGTCATGATTAAATGTTTTTTAATTATTACATCGTGCATAGCGTTTTTAAAAAGTGCTTATTTTTGATTTTCGTTTTTTAAAAGCCTTTAAAGGTGCTTTTTTCATTGGGTGTTATAAAAAATTGCGTAAATTTTCCCTTTTTGAAAATGAGATTTTTTTTTCTTTATCACGTCACGTATTATGCGAAAATGTATTTTTCGCATTGTTCCGTTCAACGTTTTTACAATTGAATCAATCACAATCTATTTCAGTGTACCGTTGGTCTATTGCGTATGAAAGCGCCAATCATTTTACAAGTTGGATGAAATACTTGTGAGTTTGCATATGCGTATAATGAGCTGGGTTCGCTGAGATTATTACACTCTCTTGTGCAACTCTGCTGCATTTTGCAAGATATTCTCAATTTCAAGCTTCATTTTCCACTCTCTAAAATGGATTAAAAAAAATCTCATGAGCATTTTAAAGGGCTAATGTAATCAAGAAAAGAGTTCTTTGTCAGAAACTAGTTATTTTATCATGATCATGTAGTCTTTAAAAATTATTTTGCATTTTGTTAATGTATAAAGTGCTTAAAAATATTTTTTGAGTGCATAAAAAGTACTTGAAAGGTGCTTATTTTTTGTTGCAAGATTTGGCTATGCACCATGTATTACTAAAATAACAAAATTCACTTAGCCCATGATTCCGCTTTGTTATAAAACACCAAATATGACGAAAATTGTGTAGGGAACGTGAAAAATAAGTAACAATGCGTCCCTTGGTCCCTTTAAGAAAAATAACAAGCCAGCAGATGTATTAGAAAAATTATAACTTTACTTTATTTACATATTAACCAACATCTTCTATCATTTTCTTTTCTATTTTATAAAAAATCTTTCTCTATCCTATCAAATGAAATCATTGCTTTCACTTGATGCAGGCCTTTAAGTAGTACTAATTAAAAGCCTTAATTGTCCACAATTCTTCTTTACTAATAGAGGAATTCATATTTTAAATAGGCTTTTGTAAAAGACGTTCGGGTTAGTATTGCAGATTCATGATGTGACATTCTACTAAAAATATTGGAATTAAAAACTCCATCCATGTGGAAAGGGTTGACAAAAATCTTTAATTGGCACAAATAGCGTGCAATAGAGTTGGCACAAAAGTAATACCTTGAAATGTGACACATACACGCTGTAATAATATAGTGTTTAAAATATTATAATTAGACAAAACAAGTGATAGTGTCCGAAAAAATGAATTAATTTTGAATAAATCGTTAACAAATAGTCATTACTCAAATGCAAATGTGACTCATTTGGTGAAACAATGACGTAACCGATAATGACTCAATTTAGGTTGATTTTGCAGTTACGTCATTGTCCCCAATATAAGAAATAATTATAGGCTTATTAGAGGGTACACAATATGGTCCTTTAGGTTATAATGTAAGTATCTATCGTTCATTTGGTGAAACTGATAATTACTCTATTTAGGTCAGTTTTGCAGTTACGTCATTGTTTCACCAAATGAGCAATATCAAGTGTCTTAATAACATTGTGTACCATGGTAATTTAAAAATGTGAAATCTAGTAAAAATATGATACAAACAACACAATCTGAAGAAACAATGTAGCTTATAATGGAATCGTCAGAAATAATAAAAAAAGAAATTCAAATTTGGGTATTGTAATAACAGATATTGTTGAAATGAACAAAAACAGTACTGTCTTTCTAAAATTAATTCTGTATTGATGATTTTATATATTATTGATGATGGTGTGTTTTATTGGGAGTGATAAATAAATTTCACTTAAAATTGGAATTTTATTAAGCTTGAAATATTTCTCTTACTTAAAATGCATCTAAATATGATAAGTCTGCTGATATAAATTCTAAACAGTAATTCTTTATTTCGTTTCATCTTTATTATTTAAGAATGTGTGCTCAAAAATTTAATGTTTACAAGTGCTCCTATGAATATAAAGACTATTTGCTCCAATCTGCTCAAAAACCCATTTTTCTGCTCCAAAATGCTTCAAATCAGACTGATTAAGTTTACACCAAGAGGGTTTCCGTAAAAGCAGTGTAAATTTAAATTGTGCCTTTGTTGCTCTTCTTGGTAACAACATGTTTGGAGGATTTTGTTTTATTCTCTATCTGATTGCTGAAATAAAGTTGAATTTTTCATTAAATGAAATGTTAGGGATTTCCATAGACCAAGGTCCAACTTTTGTGGCTTCCTTGGGGGATCCCTCACTATTTCAGTAATGAACATTATTATTAAAATTTTAACTTTAGTATTTTTCTCCTCATTATAGATAACAAGAAAATTGAGTAGAATCAAAAAATCCCCCAATGGTCGTCCATTTTATTGATTTTCTGACAATTCCTATGTCCATCATGCAATTTTCTAATCTATCTGTGAAATATCCTTGCTGACATTAGGTCAGAATTCAGCTAAATTTATGGCTCACTTAAGCCCATCATATCACATTTTGCAATATGTAAAAATACAGACTTTTGATTGGCCATATTTGTCCTCCGTCATTATGAAAATTCCGCTGTAGAAAACAATGGATTTACGAAATATAGATTTTTTGTGTTCATACGATAGATTAATGAAGATACGATATATTAATAGTTTATATGATAGATAATAAATGATAAACATAAAACTGACATATTTTCCACTGTACTGATAATTTTGTTTAAAAATAGTTCATTAAAGAAAACTTAAAATAAACTTTCCGTTCGATGTTGGGGCAACTGCCCCATATGTCCCTGGTTGGGATTATGGTTTTCTACAAAACCTTTTTTTTTCCTTTTCCAGAATAAAGCACCCAAAGCTCCAACTGCTAATTTGGAAGAATTCAATCACATGGATGAATCACATGATGTGATTGCATAAAAGAACATCTTCTGCTGCTGCTCAATACTCTTATTTGTATTTTGTTGAATGTGATTATGGAAACCTATTTTTTATATCTTTTTTTTTAAATATAATTTAAACTTTTTGTTTAATTTTAATGCAAAATCCTGTGTTGGAAATTTTAAAATAAAGGCTGCATTTTTAAGTTTCAAACTTGAGGCATTTCAGTGAGTGAGTTGTGCAAGTTTTGAAAATGTTCAAACTACAAATGCATTTTTTAAGTATTGAATACAATACTTTTCCTACCAAGTGTTATTGCCTTTTGAATAACCTGGGGAAGGGACAGACTTTCTTGCAAACTATGTTCTTGCTCTTAAAAAATAAATGTTTTCTAATATAGCATTTATTTTTGGATGGTATAAGAAAATGCAATAATTTTAATTGTTCATCTTAATAATGAATTAATCATTGTGTGTGTGTATCAATAATGGAAAACTGTTACTTAAAAATGTTACTCATCACACTATTTTTAGAAAGGTTTATTTGGAGGATTTTACTATTTTGTATTACATTTTAAAAATGATTTATAATTTTTTTATGGGCTTTTCAAATCCTCGAATTATTTGTCTTTGTTGTAATTTATGAATATCATTTGCAGCTATTGTAATGCATTCTATTTTATATTTTCCAATTTCTTTAAAGATGTCTTTTTTTATTTTATTTCAACGCTGGTGGCGGGTTTGCCAGTGTTTGTTTTGAAGTCCCTCTTTGTGACTTTTTCATATGGCTAATAAAATTTAAAATGTTATCAGTGTGTTCATTATTTTTTTCACTTTGAATGATCATAATTTTACAGGGTCACAAATCTTATTCAATGACAAAGTGATAACTCGAAACATTTATGTTCTGAGATATAGTATACCGAAATTAGAGAAATCGTCTGACCACAAAAACAATAATTGCCTTATCAGAAAGCTATGTGGAAACAAGATGGAATAGTTTACGAGCGGTCGTGGAAAGGCTCAGAGAAACGATGGAATCATTGTGAACCAAATTGTTAAGAGACACTATGTTAAATCTTAATTATCAGCTTTATTGTTTTGACTGACTTGTTTACGTTAGTGTATCAATGGATTAACATTGTAATGCCTTAAAATTAAATACGAAGTATATTAAAAAATCTGAATGAAAACCAATTACATGTATATTTAAATATAAAAAGTATTGCATATAAACTAATGTAACAACTTATGTAAAACATGTAATTTTAAAAGAAAAGTGTCTGCTGGGCTAAATATTATATAGTATTTATATAACATATCTTCTAATTTATGTCATCTAATTTGACCGATACGAAACACCTACGGTTTCAGTCGCGTAAAAACAAAGCTGTATAGTATCACTCGATAATTAAGAATTTACATGGAATCTTTCAGTGCGTCTAAGGGATTGTGATAACTCAAATTTGAAATTCGCTCATTGTCATCACATTAAAGATAAAATGCGAAACTGATAAATAATCACCTGTCAAACGACGTGGATTTACAACGGTTGTTGGTTTACGGCGGTCTGGGAAGCCTTTACAATTTTGCCACATGGCGTACTTGGGGATGGTGTCGTCGCTTGCAGGTATCCAATTATGGCGATGGTAAAGTGTTTCAATTCTAAAATGTCCTAAAAACATACTGACCCATATTAAACCACTCTTAAAAGCAACCGTAGGAAATATTTTTTAAACATAATCGATACAAAGTACACCTAAAACAAAAAAATTATTTTCTTTAAAATGTCCTGCAAATAGGACAACGAAGTTCTTTTACAATATATTAATAGGCATCCTCTTTGACGTCCATCCCGGACTTTTAACTGACACTCTTATACATGAGCTACATTGTGGGCCCCTAAATGGCTTATAGTTATTTCCTCTGTTACGGTACATTAGTACCCTATAATATAAAACGTGACCCAGTTTGAATATTAAGGGACGATATAGGGCAATGTAGTAATAAAGTATATTAACTTCGAATTTTTACTCTATTATAGATATACATACAAACGAAAAGGGACACATTTTGCTCCCCCTAATTGGCCTATAATTAATTCCTTCGGTAGGGTGCACTACTACCCTGTAATATAATACATGGTCCAGTTGGAATACTATGGATTAATATAAAGGGCCATGTAATACAAGAGTCTTAACGTCATTTCACACACTATATATACATACCTAATACCCATTGTGGTCCCCTTAATTGGCCTACAGATCTTAATTGCCTAAACTGATCTGTGATAAACAGAGTTTGAAAAATCCCACCCCACCTGTTTTTCATCAAAAACCTGGGTTTTTGATGAAAGGCTCGAATTTTTTCAAAAATACTTTTCCTGAGTACTAAATGAGAATGCATTAAAGTTTTATATTGTTACACTATTATTTTTGTTTCTTAAGGATAAGCAGATTGTTACATAATACAGTCAAACCCCGCTATAGTGAACCTGGGATATAGTGAACACTCGGATGTAGTGAACTTTTTTAGCGGTCCCGTCCGTATTCCTATTTAAATAATGTTATTTTTAACGCTTATAGTGAACAGCTTAGAACTTGGAAACTCGGTTATAGTGGACTCAAATTTCATTTCTTTAAATATCTTTTTCAGTCCTCCATCTTTAAATTTGTGGGTGTTGGGACTGAAAATGAATGCATTCCTATAAAATGTGTCATATTACTCTCCTTTATGCTTATCACTTTTAACTATACTGTAATAAATGTCAAACAGATCATTTATCTTATACTCCTCCCTCCCTGCCAAGCCTCGCCTTATCTCTTTTCCCCAAGCTTGCTCTACAACTAGTTAACTTGGCCACCTGCTGAATTTTTGGAATTTTCTTATCTGTTCAAACCATATTCTTTACAAATCACCCCTTGACAATCAAGAAGGGGAACAATTTAACTCATTCTACAGCTGCTCTCTTCATATTCTTACATTATCTATTTGAGACAAGATTTTTATTTCAAAAGCAGTGAAAATGGCAAATTCTCTAAAGAGAAAAGCGTTTTCGATAGAGGACAAAGTTAAAATTGTAAAGCGTATTGATGATGGAACCAATCAATCGACACTGTGTAAGGAATTTTCCTTGTCAAAATCTACAGTTTCAAACATTTGGAAAAATCGAAGTGCAATTCTTGCGGCATACGACAAAAACATGGTTTCATCGAAAAAACTGCGTGGAGCTGAAAGAGAAAACGTAGAAGATGCTTTGTTAAGATGGTTCGAAATCTTGTTCAAAATGTAAAAATCTTGCATTCTTTGCACATTGTAGATAAGAAAATTGATGAACTCAATTTAAAATCAAATTGTGTTCAATCAAAAATCACAAATTTTTTTCATAAAAAGTGAAAATAAAGCTAATATTTAGCGACGTAATTACTTTTTCCATCAATTTTTGCTTTATTATCTGTTAATTAGTTAATAATTTTTTAAATAACTTATGCAAAATTGCAAAGCCAATTTTCAATCATTCAACAGTCTTATGCAAAAAATATTCTTCAAAAAATTTGGATATAGTGAACCATCGGTTATAGTGGACACATTACTGAGTCCGCAGACGGTTCACTATAGCGGGGTTCGACTGATCTAAATCTGCTCAATTAAATGATCCTTAGATATTAGTAAAATCTTTATTCAGTTAACATTGTAACTTAATATACTGTTTTTTTTTAATTCTATTTTTGGTTCCTTTAAAAATAGTTCATGTTTTTCTCCAGATTGTTTAGTAACATCATGTAAAGTTAATTCCCAATAACAGGCTTGGTTAGAAATAATTTTGTGTAAAGCTCATTATAAAAGTAAATATAGCACATTTGTTATTTAGTAATAATTTCAAAATTGTTAAGTTATATACCATTTTCAATGTGTTTTTCGTAAAATATTTCAATATATTTTTACAAAACGTTACCTGTTAAGGTGATATTACAGGATTATTTTATAATAAAAGAATACCACTTTCAGTTTTCAACTTTTAATTTGTGATTAAAAAAAATTTCAAGTCATAATAATAGTTAGAGTGTATTAGGAATGGTAAAGGATGATAAAGAAATATTACTTGTAAAAATCTATAAATAATTAAAATATAAATAATTTATCAGTATTTATTAATTAAGGAACCTTATCAACTTTCTGGCCATAGGAATATGTTGATATCTTTGAAAAATCGTTTAAGACCCTTTTATTTACATGTTTACTAACTGATAAAAACCTAATAATAAGAACTAATAAAAAACAAAATTGGTTTAAAAATTATAAATCTTTTCAAATGTAATTGTATTTTTATTCTATATAAATTTTCATAAAAATATTTATTGCAATAAATTTAAAAAATATATTGAGTTAAGCCTTATGAAAAAAATGTGGAATGATTTAAGGTGCTTAGATATTAGTATCACCTATTTTTATTCAAAATGGGACTTAATTTTACATGGCACAGTTAAGAAAACTATTCTCAAGCGTAACTCTAATTCAACTTTTTAGTATTAATTATTTTAAAATATACCTTTATAAATAAAACATTTTATTAATAGAAAGGAAATAATTATTTATATCGTAACTGAATATTTAGCAAGCTTGACCCACAAATGAATATGTGATGCAGGTCTAGTAGCGAAATATAAAAACTTGTAGTAATAAATTTTTCAATGTTTTTGCCAAATTTATTTATTTACTCTTTTTTTTTTAAATATACATGAAAAAAATTTTACAATTCAATTTCAATGAAATCATTAAAAATTGAATGTGGATTAGTTTCATAGATGATGTTAACCTTTAACGATCTGAATATGTTTTTTAAAAAAAAGCCCAACCCGGGTTTGCGAAAATTACCAGGTACTTTGGCGAGACCTGTTAATGAATGCAATTATATCAGTGCTTACATTATGATAAAATTGTTTATTTTTTTTATTTATCGATTTTTTTTAAGAAATGTAAATAATTGGCACTGTCACTGGTAGTATATATATGATGATAAACAATCATTCTATTTTTAAAGTCCTTAATTGTTTCAAGAAAAGGTCCTTAAAATTGCTTAATTTTTGCTTTGTTAAAAGAGTCGGAACTTTTAATAATAGTCGGAGTCGTAAAAGAACGGTATTTTTTGAAGAAAGAAAAATCTTTTTTTGTAAATCTTGTCTAAAATACCTGAACTACTTTTTTTTTTTGTTATAATATGTTGGATTCTATTTTTCATTCATTTATTTTTATTACTTATGATTATTTTAAATTAAGATTAAACTACCATTTTAAAAGCTTCAGTGTTATTTTCGCTGCTGTGCTTTCCCAAATAGGATAGTTTCTAAATCATTTGCTTAGAAAACATTCAAAACTAATATTTGAGAAACATCACTTTAAGAAAAGCACATTTCAGAACAGTTTTCAATAATATCAGTCATTTTTATTAGTTTACAAAATAAATTTTTTAAACTTTTTTTAGTATATTTTTTTATTCAGAGAATTTCCTTCATAATTTTCTATTAACATGCATATTATAATTTACTTGATTTCTAGTCATTCTGAAACACATTTTTGTTTGATGTTTTGCGAATTTTAACCTCTAGATTTTCAAATTTTTTAAATTAACGTTGTTATTCAATATTTTGTTGCTAAAAATGTAATTATGTTTATTTTATTTCCTATTCTCTTGTGATTGAAAAATACTAAAATTTTTTTTTATCAGTTAAGGCAATCAGTACAAAATATTCAATCTGAAATATTTTAGAACTTTATTAATTTATTGAAAACTCTACTATAATTTAATAGT